GCAGCTTTTTTTTGTGATGCTCCAGCCTTTCAGGCCTTGCCTCCACGCGACTGGCGCGCTGCACCTGCCCAAAGACCCAGGACCAGGGACAGGTTGCCTATCAAGTACTAGCGCGAAAATAACCGGGGTGCGCCCCACGTGATGCTTGGCAGGCGAGTCTAGAAGCTGCAAGAGGTGCTTGATGCCGTCTGCGAGCCTGCCTTTCTCGTGCCGTCCAGCCCAAGAGCCTTAAAAGCCGCTTACAATCTTCCTGGTCGTCTTTGTGCCAACAAGCGCTTGCCTTTGCTTGATTCATTCAAAAGTGGCGGTTGCCCTTAAATCATCGAGTTGGGGATATCGTTCTTGCTAGTTGCTACCTACCTATTCGGCCCACACAATTACGTATCCGCTAATCGACAGGCTCCCCCTCCACTGCCCACTCCTATTCTCTCCCACCATCGATAACTCCCTAAGCTGCCTCAGCTTGTTGTAGCCTCAAGAAACATTACCCTATTATTCCTACAGCTCTCAATTGGGCTCCCAACGGAATCATGTCAGACGAAGAGGTTCTTTCACCGCCGAGACGGTCTGGAACTAGCGACCCTGGCGCACACGATCTGGGTAAGCACCCCCCACCCGTTGTCAATGTCTCCCTTGATGATCGTGCAGCCGTTTTTGTCTAACAATCTGCAGCCAACGCCTCCGACTCAGAAGACCACTTCTCCGATGCGCAATCTGCTCCCCTTAGCCCCGGAACGTCACCGATTCCCAAAACCCGCGTAGAGAAAGTCGACGATGAACCGTCCTACGGCGAGGTACCTGGAACGGAGGCGTACCGCTTGAGGGAGGGTGATGCTGAGCCGGACGAGATTGCAATCCAGGAGAAGGGCAGTAGCGAGGCATCGTCGACCGCAGACAGTGCGCCCAAGTCGCCAGTCATTCCCAAGACTGTCGTTGAGGAGGCCCCGGGCGAGTCAGGGCCGCACTCAGAGGAGTTCTTGGAGAAGCGCAAGGCAGACGCCCCAGCCGACTTGGTTGTCAAGCCAGACGGCGAGACTGAGGAGGGTGGCAGTTCCGGTACGATGTAGAGATCCCTGAAATTCAAAGAGTACTTTGTCGTTGACCTGGCGTCATTTTTCGTAGATTCCCACCCTGTATCACCTGCGCTATCGTCAACACCAAGTTCGCCTGCCGTGAAGCGGAAACCCTCCAAGACGGCTCTTTCGTCTGCTCCGTCTAGCGGCGGCCTTGCACCGCCTCCCGATGCAGCTGATAACGATGACGATGACGCTGAAGGCGGTGACGGGGTTGATGATGACGACTTTGGTGACGATTTCGACGACTTTGAGGAGGGTGCAGAAGCCGACGCCGACTTTGATGACTTTGAAGATGGCTTTCAAGAACCCGAATTCCAAGCTCCCGCTCCAGCTCCAGCGCCTAGCTTACCACAAGTACCATCGCTGCCTTTCGTAAGCACCCTGCGATCAAAGCCTGGTTTGGCCTTTCTAACACCTCAGTCCAGGATATACCAGACTTTGACGGCTTAGACGGCGAAGACGTACTACAAGCTGTCGACCCATACCTCAACACCCTCTTCCCCCCAGAAAGCCTAGATGTCGACTCCCCGCCACCGTTGACGAAAGAAAACCCCATCTTCCTCACACCGCGCAGTGCGTCACTGTGGTCGCAGCTGGTGGCACCTCCGCCGTTAGCTCCTCCCGATTGGATCCGCTCGCGAATCCGCCGTCTCTTCCTCGTCTCGCTTGGCGTGCCGGTCGACTTGGACGAGATTCTCCCAGCCTCCAAGCAAAAGAAGCTCGTGCTGCCTTCACTACAAGTCCCCTCCGGCTCACCAAGGACATCATCAGATTCTCGGTCCGTGTCACGGGTGCGGGCCGAGGCCAACGCGTCGTCGACGTCTGTGGACTCAAAAGGCAAACCGACAGCGTCATCCAAGAAGAAGGGACCGCCGCCGGTGCCAGACCTGGACCTCGTATCGGCCAAGCAGCTCTGCACGACGACGGACGAGGCCCTGAATGGCATGACGGACGACGAGCTCAAGGCGCACGTGGACAGGCTAAAGGCGATGGAGGGAACGGCCAAGGAGGTGTTGGAGTACTGGACCAAGAAGACGGACGAAAAGATAGGCGACAGAGAGGCCTTTGAAGGCGTGATAGAAAACCTAGTCAAGCATGCACGCAAAGTCAGGAAATAGAAATAATAGAAAAGTAAAGTGGGCTCATTCATCGTCCAGGCCTATCTATCAGCATACACCGTCTAGCTTTTCCTTGTACGTTGTTTTTCTTTCCCTCGCGAATCCCCCGCCGTCAAATGGACCTTGAATCTTGGACCTTCAAATTTCGCGAATTTCGAAGTCTCTCTCCTGATCATTTGAATCTTACGCGGTAGTTGGTAACCTCGTTCATGTGCATTCATTACCCGCCCGGTACTCAAAAACTTTGCCGGATCCGCGCCTTCCCCCTTTCTCCCGACGACTGACTCCCCATTCGGCTCTCTACCAGACTGACTGATTCTTTTTTAGACTCCCTGTGATGCTGAAGAATGGGCTTTTGAGACTTTGTGGTTTTTTGATTTGATTTGGGACAGTTGTCGATTTAAGACGAGCTGGGCTCGAGAGTGACACCGCTGTATAAACGTTAGCTTTCTTTTGCAACTTAATTGTCTAGAATTGTCAAGTATGAACTTACGCAGCGATGGTGGCCCAACCAATCAGACGCCAATGCTTCTCAATACGACGGGACAGAGCGACCTTCTCGCCAATGTTTGTGCAGGCGGGGGAGGTGAGGACGAGCTTGGCGGCATCGTTCTTGATGGCGGCAACCTTGGCACCGGTGGACGTGGAACCAATGTTGACCATGATGACCTCGTTCTTGGTGAGCTTGGCGACCTTGGCCTGCTTGCCGTCGGCGGTCCGGACACCGAGGAGACGGCGCAGGAGGTAGAAGTTGACCTCGATCTCGCTGTAGATCTCAGGCAGGCGGCCCTTGAGACCCAGGACGAAACCGACGAGACGATCGGCTCTGCAGAGGGTGGGGTCGATGCGGGTACCGACACCGATAAGACCACCGGGGACGGCGTACTTGAGGTCGTTGAATTCGGAGTTGAGGGAGACGATTCTGCTGAAGATGGGAGTGCACTTGAGGGCACCCTTGTCGTCTCTCGTAACGATACCGGGACGGATCTCAATCTCGTCGCCGAGCTTGAGGACACCGTGCAGAATGGAACCACCAGCGACACCTCCCTTGAGGTCGTCAATCTCAGCACCGGGCTTGTTGACGTCGAAGGATCGAATGACGATCATGTGGGGGTCCTGGGTGAAGTCACGAGGGGGCACGGGGATGGTGTTGACGATGGCCTCGTTGACGGCGTCGATGTTGAACTTGAGCTGGGCAGAGATGGGGATGACGGGAGACTTTCCGGCAACAGTACCTCTGATGAACTTCAGGATAGACTGGTAGTGTTGCTGGGCGGCCTCCTCGCGCATGAGATCGACCTTGTTCTGGAGGATAATGATCTTGTCCAGCTTCATAATCTCAATGGCAGCCAAGTGCTCAGAGGTCTGGGGCTGGGGGCAGGTTTCGTTGCCGGCAATGAGCAGCAGGGCGGCGTCCATGACGGCGGCACCTGACAACATGGTGCTCATGAGAATATCGTGACCGGGGCAGTCGACGAAGCTAAGTGGAGATATAGTATTAGCCACGACTCCTTGCAATTCACGATTTCCGGGGTAAGCTCTCTCTCCGAGCTTCAGCTACTTACGAAACGTGGCGCAATAATCTGTAGGTGCCGCTGCAGCCCTCGCGCTCGCAAGGGGGGTCAACCTCCTTCTCACTCTTGTAACTCCTGAAGCATCCCGGCCGAGGGCACTCCTGGTTGTCGCACTGGTAGATCTTTGCGTTGGCGTAACCAAGCTTGATGGTGATGTTACGGATCAGCTCGTTCTTGAAACGAACGGTCTGAACGCCGGAGATGGCCTTGACGACGGTAGACTTTCCGTGGGCGACATGGCCGATGGTACCGATGTTGATTGTTGCTTGGCGAGCGATAATCTCGGGGGTGAGGGGGCTGAGGGTCTTGACGTCGAGGTCTTTGGGATCGGTTTGCGGGGGCAGAGTAGGGCGCTGAACTGTGGTGTCGGCGGTGACAGGGTTGGAGGACTTCTTGAGGGCGGGCTTAAGAGTCTTCTCCTCGTTGAGCTCGGTCTGCTCCTCGACGGACTCGCCAGAGTCGGACTCCGACTCGATGTCGTCGTACTTGTTATCGCCGTTGGCAGACATTGTCGCGACGGGGTATGAGTGGATGGCGGGGTAAATTCGTCTAGGTTGACTTGTGTCGGGTCGGGGGACGTCGGACTTTTTTCTCGAAGTTAGATCGCCTGATGACTGAGTAGGTGATTAGGTGTAGGTATTCGACGGTACCGGAGAGGGAGGATGGGGCCTCTTGTTCGTGGGTTTCGTGACGTCGAGGTTGATCCGCGAAATTTGCTTCCGATGAGTAACAACCTGGAATTTACCTCGCTGAGGGTCGATTCGAATTCTGTGGTCAAAGTCGGCGCTAACCTCTTTTGGGCCGATAAGCTGATAAGTGCCCCGCCTGGCCTTTGCCCGCCCAACCCTGCCGCCCTCTGCTCTCCAAGGTAGGTACCTTATTTGTACCTTTCCTCTCTGGGGAAAGGACGAAACTGGTGACAGAGTCACACGAGTTGACTCACACCTTTAGACTTACATGTGCGACATGTTCTCATCGACCTTCTCCAGCTAGGCTCTTGTTGAAGATTGCGTACCACCTACCATCTTTTAGGAGCACCTCATGATCAGCTATGGGAAAGGAAGGCACGAAGTTCGTACTTTTAACCAATAGGCTAAGATAGTGTTTGCAAAGTCAATAAAGTTAACCTATCTTTTACGAAGCCGTTGTAAATATCATCTTGAACCGAAAGTGAGCTTCATGTGCCCCATCAGCATCAATAGTTGACGCTTAAGTTGCTCGCGACATTACAGGTCTTGTCGCTGCCAGAGATTCCGTAACCCTGAGATCTCGACGTTTATCTGGACCTTATAGTGTCTATTTGCGCCTCGAATGTTGCAATAGTGTAATTGTTTGACATGCAATCGTGGAATTCTTTTTTCTATACCTCTAAGCGCCCCGTTACAATCCCTAGTTCAACATGGCCTTGACCAGCCGGATCTGTTCCAACACGCTTGATTTACTGGTACCGCCCTTGGCATCCTTCGCCTCGACACTCGACTCATACTCGAATGCCTCCGCAATGTCTGCTGTGAACCGAGAATCAATGGCTTGCAGTTGCTCAAGAGTCAGCTTGTCCATCGAAACTTCCGTGTTTTCAGACAGTGCAACGACGCGTCCAGAGATGTGGTGAGCCTCTCTGAACGGACATCCCCTCCTCACCAACCACTCTGCGACATCAGTGGCCAACATCGTCTTGTCCAGAGCCGCCCTCATCCGCTCTGGCCGCACCTTCAAGGTAGCAATGACACCGTTCGCTATTCCCAGACTATCCGACACAGTCTGAACCGAATCCAGCATGGGCTCCCACCCTTCCTGGAGATCTTTGTTGTAGCAAGATGGCAAGCTCTTCACAGTCTGGCAAGTATATAGTTAGAAACTACTCTCAAAACGCTCCTAGTCACCCTTAAAGCCATGGCAACTGGCTGAGGGGTTAACGTGCGGACTCACCATCATTAAGCCAGCCATTTGACCGAAAGCACGCCCTGACTTGCCGCGCAGAAGCTCTAATGAGTCTCCGTTGAATTTGTTAGGCATCAAAGAGCTACCTGTGCAGTAGGCATCGGCCAACCGAATGAAGCCAAACTCTGATGTCGAGTATATGATGAGGTCCTCAGCCCATCTGCTGATGTGGTTGGTGAAGATCGAGTTCCAGGTAAGGAACTCGATGATGAAATCGCGGTCGGCCGAAGTGTTCATGGAGTTCAGGGTGATTCCGCTGAAACCAAGCTCCTCGGCGATCATGTCTCGATCGATTCGGAACGGGTTACCGGCCAAAGCGCCACAACCAAGTGGACTCAGGTTAACTCTCTCGAAAAGTTGGCGTAACCGCTCGAGATCCTGCTTGAACGCAGCGGCATATGACATGAGCCATTGAGACCACCGCACTGGTTGGGCACGTTGAAGATGGGTGTATCCAGGCATGAGGTATTCGCTGAGGTTGTCAGTAAGCAGGGGGCCGCTTTTGGCCAGAGGTGGGGCTAGACTTACATCTCATCAGAGCCGGCACGTGTGACAATGACCTTGAGGAAATCGACGAGTTGGCTGTCGATTTCGCGGATCCGATCGCGCAACCACATGCGCATATCAACGACAACTTGCTCGTTGCGGCTGCGACCTGTGTGCAGCTTACCCGCGGTGTCCTTGCCGATGACCTCTCCCAAACGACGTTCGTTTGCCGTGTGAATCTGACCCATCGTGTTAGCCGTGAGCAGTTGAGGTGAATTGAGCAGCCACTCACATCCTCGTCATTCGGCATGATAGCAAAAGTTCCCTGCTTCCATTCTTCCATGATTTGGAGCAAACCACGCTCAATCGCCTGGAATTCGTCTTGGCTGATAATGCCAGCCTTGGAGTTGGCCCTGGCAAAAGCAATCGATCCGAGGATATCCTCTCTGTAAAGAGCCTTGTCGAATCGGATGGAGGCATTGTACTTGTACATAAGAGGGTCAATTGCACCTGCGCACCGGTAGGTCAGTAAACCGCATCCGAAGCTTGTTCCCGGGATATTCGAACCTGTGAACCTGCCACCCCAGAGCATGCCCTCCGCCGGGGCGTCCGCCTTTTTCTCAGCCATGTTTGTTGCGTTTGTCGTGTTTGTTGCGCTTTCGAGGCCGATGAAGTCAATGGGGTCGATGAGACCACTGGAGCTTATGGCGGGTACTTGTACCAATTGGCGTTCGAGATCAAGGGCGTGAGTCACTAACACCGAGAATACTAGAGAATTGAAATGCTCGAGAGAACTCCGTAAGGGCGGGAGTCATCAATGTCGAAAAGTTTATTAAGGAATTCCAGGGTCGATCAATTGAGAGCAGTCATAGGAGGGGTTTGTGGGGCCGATACCGGCATCACGTGACACGGAAGGTGTGGGAACTTGGTGGGGCGCAAACCCCGGAGAGTAAGGTACTAGAAGGGAAGAGCTCTGCTGCATAGTACAATGCCAGGTCAGAAGTTTATGCGGTGTCAATTTGTTTCGAAAGAGAGCAAGAGAAGCGAAAGAGACCGCCAATAAGCATGGTCGACTGTGGAAGGGCCACTATGGCTACGGGAAAATATTAAGCATCTCTGTTGAGGTGTTTGTGAGCAAAGACAACTCTCCATACCTTGTCGTGCCCCTTCTAGTAACTTCAGATCATTAAGCCGGGGTGCCGGGCTCCCTAACTTCTCGAGGAGTCCCATGCCCGGTCATATTCAAAGTAACGACATCCATCCCGCATCCCATCATCCGGGACTTGAGCTCCGCCGAACAGGACCGGGATTGCCGTAGCCGCAAAGGAGCGAACTGCCCGGCGGTCCGTCACACTCATCAATTCCCGGCACGGCTTGTAGAAGTTGGGTAAAAATAGGCTGGGCAGACACCAAAGTAAGGCAACGTAGCCCACCTCATTGTTACTGATGGTCTAATTGGCCACATCTCCTAAAAATAGGTTTGTGAATGCGGGCTAAAGTCGACTGCAACCTGCATTTTTACTCATTCTGTAATGGAGGGTAAAAAGGTGGCAGCACGTCTTGGTTCGCCTGGTTATTCGACGAGGGCGGGAAGGAAAAGTGACGGCACACGGGCCATGCCTTACTTAATGTTCCCTGCTAATGTAATTATCCGCGTGGGCTGTAGCTCCCTCGCACCATCGATCTGCACAACAAGGACGATCGCTGACGGGGCTGACAGCTCTCTCAAATTGGAAACTCGTCGAGATGAACTCATCAAGAAGAGAGCATCTTCACCCAAATTTGCCTCTGCTTTGCCGCCGCATCTGAGATTACACGGCAGTTCTTCTTTCAATTGCATAAGCAGGCTGAGCAAGCTATTCATCCCGCTTGTGTCCCAGTACTTCGGTCAAGCTTACGGATCTACGGACTACTTATGCGATTCTCGGTTACTCATGTGAAAGAGGGCCAACGTGAGATTTTGGGCCCAGTAACGGCGGGCAAGGGGGGCGAAGTTGCGAACAACGCTGCTACTCCGAGCACCTATATCACAAATGAGCACCTTACAGCCCAGCCTGCATGCTTCATCACTCGACACATGAACCACCCTCACCGAAAACTAGGTATAGGCGAGTAGAGCAAACACACTTCCGCTGAAGCAGTTGAAGGACCCCACCATGAAGTTCATTAGCGCCCGAAGTCGTTGACAACGCCAGAAGAAAGGCAAAAATCAAGCTCATTATCCGATTCCCTGTCAATGTCAGGAACAAGAAAGGAAAAACCAGGAACTAAGAGACTCGGGTGACTCGAGCGAAAGACTACACCAAAAAAAAAGGCCGCGCCATACCACCTCGCCATAGCTATTGTGTTTGCTCATTCACCCACTTCTCCATCCCCTCGACTTCTGCTTACCGCCCACTCTGCATGTGGCTGGAAGTCCATCACGCACTTTTGACCGTTGATTGGTCGCAGGCCGTTGCGCCAACGTGCAAGCATGCGGCATCCGGAGGCGGCTGCACCACTTGAGCCTATCACAACCGCAGTTGTCCGACAGGGGTGAGGCGGGCGGCAGCAAGGGTTCGAAGTTCGAACGTCGATTTGAGAGCAGTTGGCGCCGGTGGTTGATCAAGGACCCGTGGACGTGAGCAAGGGTGGCCGCAAGCCTCTCTCCTCTTTCCAAACTTCCGTCCAACCACATCTTTGTCCTCCCATTGCTACTTCACCTTCCTCCTCTCAATTTGGATAGCCATGTCCAATCACGGGCCTTACGTGCATCGTCGAACCATGGGGATGCTACGACAAATGCCGCCAAGCTCCAGTGAGCCTTTGTCGAGGCGAGGAGGGCACGAGGGTCGGTAGAGAAGTGAGGAGGTATCTTTTACTTTTGTAAAAAGAATAGGATAAAAAAAAAGAGAAGGCGGGTAAAGAATTATTAAAGCTTTATAAGGAGTTAGCCTATTTTTAGTCGTTAATAGTTATTACTACTAGTCGTTTATCCTGTATTTAGAAAATTTAGAAGTTAGTATATAAATATTAAGCTAAGATTTTTTATTATAGAATATAAGAAATAGATGAATTTAATACTTTAAAGTCCGTATTAAATGCTTATGAATATAGGATAGTTAAGGAGTTATAGTTTATATAAGTTCTTAATAATATGGACTAGTTTACTTTTAGAATTAATAATAAGTTCTTATTTTTAGGTCCGTTAATATAATCTTCTAATAGTCCTTAAAAAGTTACCGGGAGTTCTAGAGGTTCGTAATAGGTTCTTATATATTTTCCTTATATCTATAGTTTTTTTATTTAATTAGGAATTCTTATATTTCGTTCTTAACTCTATAATCAATAATCCGTTCGACTTTATATTTTAGTTAGTTTAGTTCTATAATAATACGGTTATTTATATATAAACCTTAGAGTACTAGCTCTAAAAATAAAATATAGAATACCGGGTAATACTTTATAATATTAAAGAGTCTTAGTTTATAATTAATATTTAAGACTTTTTAAATGATTTCGAAAGGTCTAAGTTTTTTATAGTCTAACTTATTATTTAGTTGTTTTATTTTAATATTTTGATAGAGGAGATAGGTGTTATTTCCCTCTTTAAAAGTTAGTCCTCTAATCCTTAATTTATTAATATATTTCTTTATATATTCTCGTATAAACTCGAGGTCTTTTATAGCCCTAGCTTAAATCTCTTTAAGTTTTTTTATATTTATTATTACTTTTATAGTAAATAGTCCTTTATATAGTTCTCTATAAGCGGTTAGTTAGTAACTAATATTAAGCTAGAATAGAGATTTCTTCGTACTTTTACTTACTGCTATATTATATATAAACTAGGCTATTAATAAAAGTTCTACTTAATTATTTTATTAATAGTTTATATAATAGTAGAGATATATTTCGAAAATTTAATTAATTTATTTTATTTATCTATTAGTTTATAAATAAAATAACGTTAATAGTTTATAGTCCATACCGAGTTATAAAATTAAAGATCTCTAAAATTTAATAGTAAATAGCTTATTTTTATTAGAAACGATTTTATTTAATAGTCCGTAGTTTATAATTATTGTTTTAAGGAATGTATATGTTAGTTCCTTAGTATTATTTGCTTCTTTATAGAGTATAAAATAGGTATATTTAGTAAATTAGTCGACGATAACTAAGATACTATCGTAATATACGTTCGTAAATAGTTCCTTAAACTTAGGGAGTTTAACGATAAAGTCCTAAAAGATTGATTATTATAGTTCTGTTAGTGCTAGTAATAGTTATAGCTCTCTATATAGCTTATAGGGGCTATTCTTGTTTTTTTTATAGGTTTTGTAGTTCTTAATTACGTTAATAACTTCTACTCGTATTATAGATTTATTATAATATTATTTAATATATTTCTATATTTTCGTGATATTTTAATAGCCGTATGCCCTAGTATTATAGATTTCTATAATAAGCTTAGGGGTTATTTTTCTAGTTATATTAATATTAACCTTCCTAGCTATTATAAGGAGTTTAATAGTAAGTATAAAGTCGTCCTTATTATCGAATTTAAAAATAACCTATATTTTTTTAGGGACCGTAACCTTATAGTCCGATCTTTTATTAAGAACGTTTACTTTATTATTTTTTAATCCTTTCCGGTAAATAATCCGGAAATTAAACTTTAAAAGGAATTCGGTCTATTTAATCTACCGTTTATTTAGATTTCTATTTATTATAAAGTTAATAAGGTTCTTATAATCTATATAGACCGTAACTTTATACTTAGTTCCTAATAACTATAGTTTCTATTCTCAAAATACTTCGATTATAGCTATTAGTTCTTTATTATAAATTTACTAATTTAATTTTAATCTATAAAATACTTTTAAATAGAATACGGAAGGGTAAAGTTTTCTTTATTTATCTTATTAACCTAAAACTACTTTTATAACAAAGTCCGAGGCATCGGTCTTGATTTTAAAGGGTCGTTTTAGATCGGGGATTATAATTACTAGTTTGGAAATAACTATATCCTTAACTTTAATAAATACTTCTTTATAATCTAAGTCCTAAATAAATAATGTATCTTTTTTAGTTAAGTTATTAAGGGGTTTAACTATATAATATAGTTCTTAAGGAATTATTAATAGAAATTAATAAATCCTAGAAAGGCTTATACATCCTTAACGTTTTAGGGTATAGGCTAGTCCCTAACTACTTCTATTTTTAATAGTTATATATATATTTATCCTAATATAATATCGTATTTAAGAAATTTAACCTTTTAAATATAGAACTTATATTTCTTAAGTTCGATATAAAGTTTAGTATTTTAAAGTTTTTAAAATACCTTATAAACGTATTCTTTATATATTTTAAGGTCCGGGGAAAAGATAAGTACGTCGTTAATATAAATAATAACAAAGATATTTATATATTCTCTAAGGATATAGTTCGTTATTATTTAAAATATAGCGGGTATATTAATAAGTCCAAAAGGTATAATTAAATACTTAAAGAATCCTTTACGTATTTAGAACGCTATTTTCTATTCGTAACTTTTTTTAATTTATACTTAATTAAAGGCTTCTTTAAGATCTATTTTAGTAAACTATTAAGCTCTATATAATAGATCTTTAAGTTTAGTAATAAGGGGTAAAAGATAGCAGTTTTTTTTAATAATCGAATTAAATCCTCTATAGTCAATTATAGGTCTTAATTTTCCCTTTCTCCCTTTAAAGACAAAGAAAAATAATATACTAATAAGAAATAAAGAAGGTCTAATATAGCCTTTTTCTAATTTCTCATCGATATATTTATTAAACTCTTCTTATTCTAGTTTATTTATTAGGTATAATAGATAAAATTTAGGC